CAGCTTGTTTTGTTTTGTTGTATGATAGGGTCTTTTTAAGACCCCAGGCTAACCTGGACCACATTCTTTGTAATCCTATTATCCACGCTGTAACAAATGACAGGAATGTACCACCATGCTAGTTTTTTTGGTTGAAATGAAGTCTTGTGAACCTTTTGCCTAGGCTATCCTTGAGCCATAGTTTTCCTGATCTCAGCATCCCAGGTAGCTACCATACCTGGCCAAATGGACATTTTTTTTTTTAATCTGAGAAATCCCAGTGCCTCTTTATTTTCAAGGAGAATTTTTGAAAGGACTTGGTTCAGTGCTTAAATTGTTATAAGGGGCTGGGAAGGTGGCTCAGTGGTAGAGTGCTTGCCTTGCATGCATGAGGCCCTGGGTTCTATTCCTCAGCACCACATAAGCAAAAAGAAAAAAAAAAGCCAGAAGTGGCGCTGTGGCTCAAGTGGTAGATTGCTACCCTTGAGCTGAAGAGCTGAAGGACAGTACCCAGGCCCAGAGTTCAGGACCAACAACCGGACCCCCCCCAAAAAAAATAAATTGTTATAGTTTCTGATTTATTTTGTTGTTCTATGAGACACTATGGGGATAGTTGTCTCTAATAGGATAATGTTTAAATGGTTTAGCAATTAATATTTAATGAAAATTGTTTATTGGTTTTTTTTAAGTTTCTACTTTCTAAAAGGAAATGCTTTTCATTGCCTTGCTCTCCCATTTCAGAATTGGATACAGCAGCATTTCACTGTATAAATGCATCGCTTGGCTTTTTCGTTTACTTGTTATACATTTCTGGTCAGACTTACATCTCAACTAAATCATGTTCAGTTTGCACACTGCAATAATACCCACCAATTATTAATATGTGTAATGTACTGGGCTCTGCCTGACAATCTCTTGTACAGTTTAAGATGGATGTATTATACCCATTTGAGCTATTAAATGTTTGTCTCCGCCAGCCCAGGATTGAAATTTGGTTCAAGAGCCCAGCTTTTAGCCATTTCACATACTATTTTCCACAGAAAACTGTTTCAACATACATATCATGAGATAGGGATATAAGTAATAGATGACCAAATGCCATATTTTCTTTATTTATGTTTTAACCAATTACATAACAAGAGACGTTCTTAATATGAACACTATATCTTTTATATCAAAATTTTATGTATTGTTTTTGTCCTACTCAAATATTGCTTTTTTCCCTCCCACCTGCTTCAATATTTCTATTAGAGGGACTATCCGGTTCTATGTTATAAGCTGCTGAAGTGTGATGGATTTTAGCAGTTGCACACCAGGACAGTTTAAAAAATAATAAAAAACAAAAAAAAGTCCAGTGCTCCCAGAGAGGGAAAGGTGGCAGAAAAGTTGAACTAGCACACACAACTTACTTGAAGATAGTGTGTCTGATTATCATAATTAGATATTAGACATATTAGATAATAAACAGATGAACAACTGAATAAAATATCCCTCAATGTAAGGGCATGAGAACCTGGTTTTTTAACTGCTTGCTTACTTCTTTCCCCCTCCCCCTCCACATTTAATTTTAGTAAAATACTAGCTGATAGAAAGTTTTGAGTTGCTTTTATTGAATGTCTCTGAGATAGTTAACATCACCCATATGATAGTTAATCTCATTTGTAGGCTTTGGGAGTTCTGAAGGCTATCCCTATGTTTAGAGAGAGATATACAAAGACTATATCTGCCATTTAAAGATAGGAGAAATTCTTGTAAATTTAGAAGTCTTAGTATTTATCATCATGTGACAAAAGACCATAAAAGGATCTTACCATGTGAAGTCGGATTGCTATTTGTAGTATACATAGTTTACAGTTTATGAATATGTTCTCTGATGCTTTCAGAGGGAAACATGCATTTCCTCATACTTTTTCATATAGAAATAGAATTATGTTTTAAGTAATGAATGAAATGTGTTTTAAGTAGTGGTTAAGGCCCCACGTTAGTTTAACTTCATTGTATGGTATGATTACTGATAATAAAAAGTTTTGAGGATTTTGCAAGAATTTATAAAAGATATTTGAAAGGATGCATTCAAGATACAACTAAAACATTCCAATTACTTTATGTTAAAATTTTGGTTTTCTGCCAACTTCTGAGAATAATTTGGACAACAATTCTAGGGATAAACATTTTTTTTTAGCTGTTAGAATACATAGGATTATCTTTGTTCTTTAACTTTATTTTGAACCTCCCGTTAGTACTATAGAACTTTGTCTTTCTAGGATTCTTTTTTTTTTTTTTTTTGTCTTGGGGCTTGAACTCTGGGCTTGGGCGCTGTCCTTGTGCTCTTCAGCTCAAGGAGAGTGCTCTACCACTTGAGCCACAGCACCACTTCTGGTTTTCTAGCGGTTTATTGGAGATAAGAGTCTCACGAACTTTCCTGTCTTTTCCTGCCCAGGCTGGCTTTGAACCGTGATCTTCAGATCTCAGCCTCCTGAGTAGCTAGGATTACAGGCGTGAGCCCCCACCCCGGTTTAGGATTCTAATCTTAGCATTTAGTTGATAATTTAAGTATCTACCATGGTATTTGGTAGGTATTTGGTATTTATGGACTCAGGATTTCAAAGTTAAAATCTACTTCTGCATTACTCACTCAGTTATTCATCATAGCATATTAGTTGAATTTTGTAATAGTATGAAATAAGCACTTTAACATTTTCTGTATACCTTGTATATTACTGTTGGTGACGTATGGGTTTTTACAAGTACCCACATACCACTACATAATCTTTACTTTATTTCTTTTAAACTTTTCAGAATTAAGTTACTTAAATTCCCCATTAGAATATTTCCATGGTTATACATTGCATTAAACTATTCAGAGGATTACAAATTTTTAAGAGGAACTGTCATAGATAAAGACAATACTAATGACTAGAACATCTGATTAAAGCTGAGAGCCTTGTTTATTTTTGGCTTGACCTGTCACAGAATTTTCTTAATTTACTTGAAGCCTGGGTAAACGTTGATTTATTATAGAAGGTTTAAACCCTTCATCTTTATATTTTATCTGGAAGAACCAGTACTTAGTTTCAGGTATATTTCTATTATTATAAAAATAGTTGGGGGCTGGGAAGGTGGCTCAGTGGTAGAACACTTGCCTTACATGCATGAGGCTCTGGGTTCGATTCCTCAGCACCACGTAAACAAGGGGGGAAAAAGCCAGAAGTGGTGCTGTGGCTCAAGTGGTAGAGTGCTAGCCTTGAGCTGAAGAGCTGAGGGACAGCGCCCAGGCCCAGAGTTCAGGCCCCACGACCAGACCAAAAAAAAAAAAAAATAGTTGGAATAACAATTTTCTTTACTTTAAAATAAATTTTACTCCTGTAACCTAGTGTTTATTCTCACCATAAGTATAATTCTTAGAAACCATATTGCTACAGATCATCCTTTTTCTTAAATGTTTTATGAATGGAATATCAATTTGTACCAAATGTTAAGTTAAATATCCTTTTAATGCTGACTTTGAGATAGGAGCCCTCATAATTCATCAATACCATTTGTTTTGTGTTTATCTAAATTTTATAACTAGAGATGATATGAATAATTTAGAAGCTATGTCTGTATTAATATCATTATTTCAATATCAAACTACTTTTTTTTTTGCCAGTCCTGAGTCTTGAACTCAGAGCCTGAGCACTGTCCTGAGCTGCTTTTGCTCAAGGCTCGCATTCTACCACTTGAGCCACAGAGCCACTTCCAGCCTTTTCTTTTCTTTTCTTTTTTCTTTTTTGTTGGTCGTGGGACTTGAACTCTGGGCTTGGGCACTGTCTCTGCACTCTTCAGTTTAAGGTGAGTGCTCTACTGCTTGAACTACAACGACACTTCCATTTTCTAGTGGATTATTGGAGATAAGAGTCTCATGGACTTTACTGCCCAGGCTGGCTTTGAACTGTGATCCTCAGATCTCAGCCTCCTGAGTAGCTAGGATTATAGGCATGAGCCACAGGCACCCGGCTTCCAGCCTTTTCTGTTTATGTGGTACTGAGGAATTGAACCCAGGGCTTCATGCATGCTCGACATGTACTCTACCACTAAGCCACATTTCCAGCCCTCAAACTACTTTTTTTATTATTACAATAACTAGGGTTTTGGTCCACTTTTTTCTAAGAGGGCTATCAAGAACACATATGGCCAGCCATAAAAAAATAATGAAATAGATGCATCATCTCTTAGGACACTAAGCCAGTCCATCTCCTTTAGCATCTAAACTTGCTTTTAACACCACACATGGAAAGTTTGTGTTCCATTTCAAAATACAAAAATTGGGGGCTGGGAAGGTGGCTCAGTGGTAGAGCGCATGCCTTGCATGCCAGAGGCCCTGGGTTCGATTCCTCAGCACCACATAAGCAAAAAGAAAAAAGCCGGAAGTGGCGCTGTGGCTCAAGTGGTAGAGTGCTAGCCTTAAGCTGAAGAGCTGAGGGACAGTGCCCAGGCCCAGAGTTCAGGCCCCATGACCGGACCCAAAAAAAAAAAAAAAAAAAAAAATACAAAAATTGCAAAGAGTGTAACAAGAATAATACCAAACTTAAATTGGAGTTAAGTAATCAAAGGATTTAGTAATTATTTGGTGACTCAAAGACCTAATTATTAGTAATTAACCCAGTACATACCTGTTCCACAATTGACCTAGTTATTGATTGCTTTCTTAAGAGGAATGGAGTTGGGAAGATAGAAAATTTAAGGTTTTGAATTTTAGGTAAAGCAGGCAGAATTTATGAATATTGCTAACTTAAATGGCCTGTTCAATTTTATTAGGTGATTGAAGAGAGTAAAATTGTTCCCAGTGTTATTTTTTTTGTCTTTTAAATTATCAACCATAGAAAATGATGAAAAATGCAGAACTTTTACCTGCTGTATCTTCAGTTCCAATCCATCTTTTATTCCAAAGAATATAAAAATCAAATGGGATCCAGTTCACCAATGGTGTTCACTAATAGTTTAATTTATGGTTTGGTGGCAAAAGAAAGGGAAATACTTACCAAACATTATTGTCAAGAGGGCAATCGGCATCACAAACAATCCAACCAGTAAGTCAGCCACCGCCAAGGACATCAGAAAGTAGTTGGTAGCGTACTGCAGCTTTTTCTCCAGTGAAACAGCCATGATGACCAGGGTGTTCCCGCCCACTGTTGGAATTATCACCAGCAGGATCAGAAGAGCCGCCCAGTTCAGTTTTTTTCCCTGTTCCTCACCAAGCGCTTTCATTTCCTCTGGCATTGAATCCGTCTGTAATCCAGACTGGTTAGAAGAAATCAAGTGATCAAATATACTCTGAAAAACATGCTCAGGAATTGTGCTCTGTTCCGACATTCTGGAAGAGATTGCCATTTTCTGTTTTTCTGTAATTCAATCCAATTGCAGACAGTGCTTAGCATAGTCAGTAGATAGGTTGGTCATCTGCTTTTTGAAGGCATCGTCCTTAAGCCAAACACACGAAACCAGAATTGACTTGCTTTCTTTAAAAAAAATTTAACATTCTCTAAGATGAAGAGCGTACACACATCTCTTTGTGTTTGTAGGTAAGAACTTCAAGTTTTGGTATTTTCTAGAAGCCAGAGTTTCAGAATGTTCAGTCTCTTGCTGTAGTTTATCTGGTTTGATTTGAATGGCAGAGTTCCCCCTAGGTACAGATACGTAAATTGCATTATTTTCCAAAAATACTGAAAACACTAGCCCTTCATAGTAGCTCCAATGTGCATTTGTGACAATGCAGCCAATTCCCACAGTTAATGAAAGAGGAGATATGTTGACTTTTCAGTGATTATAAGATACTAAATGTTTACTGATTCTTATTTTGTCTTTACTTTAGAAAATGTACAGAAGAATAGAAAAAAAAAAACCAACAAAGCATTCAATAGTTCTGACTAGAACTTTGTGTATACACTTGGTCTAACCTAGAAAGACACTAAGTCTCCCCAGTTAATTTAAATGCCATTTTGGTAATGCATTTTTGAACCCCTTCAGTTTGAGAGAACATAAAAATAGATATTACTAGGAGCTAAATAATTGCTTTTAGTAATTTCATTTGTCATAGCATGTTTCAAAAAGTATTTTGAAAATTTTAGCTACCAAATATGCTAAATTTGAATTAATTCTTTTTTTGTTTGAGTACTATTTTTTCCCTTACCATTTCTGGTTTCATTGGGAAGTAAAGGAGGCTAAAAGGAAGAATAAGCCATTTTTTTAATTAAATTTACAGATCTCATATTTTAAAAAATCTGCTCTTAACATTTGTAAATTCTAAACTACTACATAGAAATAAAAGATTTTGTAAGCAGAATTCTTCAAGATTAAAAAGCAAAACCACAAACCATTTATATAGTTCCCTGTATGTCCGTTCGACACTTACCTCTCATTTGCTTGTGGCTTTCCTCTTCCAAGCAAGTTGTCCTTGGATTTATTCAGTGGCTCCACTTGCTGCTCTCACCGAAATCCTCCTCCATTGACTTACTCTGAGCATCCGCATCCAGCACTGGCGCTTGCAAGCAGTGAAACAAGTGTGTTGTATAGCTGCAAGCATGCCAGGGAGGCTATTTCCTCTTTGATACATCATTTTTAGATCATAGCAGCACTCATTACGATTCATAAAACCACCGGTTAAGTGTATTACACCAGCTCATGACCGTTATTCAAGTTCTGTTCTTACGAGCTCTTTTATATGTCGGACTGTAATAAACTGTTATTTTAGCTTATGTTAGTTTCGTTTTAGATTAAGCGTGGGCTGTTTTTCCTGCTTGAGGGGGGAAAAAAGATATAATCTAGAAATTTTTGGAGCTTTTGTGAACATTCTGCCCTGTTAGCCATGCAGTGATTTTCACAGTTCTACTTTCTAGCAGTGAAACAAGGTTCTTACCCAGCCTTGTGCCTTTGCTGTGGGGTATAGTTAATATGCCGTGGTCACAACCTTCTATAGAAGAGCACAAAAATATGTGAATTATACATGTATACGCAGGTTTTGGCACTAACTTTGTCCCTGCTCATTTTTAAACAGCTTCTGAGTTTGGGGCTAGGTTCACAGCTTTTTTCGTAGATTTTACATTGAGGAAAGTGTATAATCTGGGATGAAAATATACTTCTTACTTATTTCGGAAAATTGATGTATAAATCTTAACAGGCTATTTTCTCTAAACTATAAAACTAGCTTAATATGAGAATGTTAGCATTCTCCATGTTTCTTCTAGATCACTAATGGCATTTGTGCTCTTTTGCTATTTGAAATTTATGATCTTTAGCTTGTGTTGAAAGTTACTGGAAAATATTCATTTCATTTCAGTTCTACTGAGAACTTCATTGTTTTGTTTTGTCTTCCTCGATCCCTTCCTCCCTCCCTCCTTCCCTCCCTCCCTCCTTCCCTCCCTCCCTTCCTCCCCCCTCCACTTTCTTTCTTTTCCCTCCCTCCCTCCCTCCCTTCCTTCCTTCCTCCCTTCCTTCCTTCCTCCCTTCCTTCCTTCCTCCCTTCCTTCCTTCCTTCCTTCCTTCCTTCCTTCCTTCCTTCCTTCCTTCCATCCTTCCTTCTTTCCTCCTTCCTTCCTTCCTTCCTTCCTTCCTTCCTTCCTTCCATCCTTCCTTCTTTCCTCTCTTTCTCTCGTGCTTATCTTGGGGCTTGAACTCAGGGTCTAGGCACTTCCTCTGAGCTTTTGTTACTCAGGGCTAGTGCTCTACCATTGAATTATAACTGCACTTTGGGCTTTTTTTGCCTTTTTTTTTTTTAAACTTTGGTATTTAGTTGGACGTAGTGTCCATAAGCTTTGCTGTCTGGATTGGTTTGGAACCTCAGTCCGCAGATCTCAGCCTCCTGAATGCTAGGATTATAGCCACCAGCACCCAGTGTAGTATTTGCTCTTTTAAAACTTAGAATGCTATATTTAGAAAAATATTCAGAATTCTAGTTGAAAATATATATTACTAAGCAATCAGATAGACTCTGGTATGCCAGGGTTTCTATTTAGGAATAAGAAAGTATTTTTAAATACTGCTTTTTTTCCCCCCTGAATCACTATTTGACTTCTGTGCTTACACAAGCTGGTTGGGAATTTTTTTTTTAATGATCTCAGATTACAAATAGCAAAACCATTATATCCAGTCTTGTGTGAAATAAGCCTTCACGTATTTGTGTTTATAGATTAAAAATGCTTAATAACCATTGAGTACATTAAAATGCAAACCATTTATGGTAATGATTATAACAATGCCTTGCCAGCTTTAACTCTTTCATTTGTATTTATTCCATTCCCTTTCATTATACAAAAAATAGTTTAAATGGTACTTTGATTAATTTATTGTTATTTTTTTTGTTGGTCAGTTCTTTGACAAAGGGTCCTAAAATTGCTTTTTGTTTTACAATAATTAAAAATAAAGGCTCTTGAATCTGTCTTGTTCCAGCTCTGTCCCCCTATCCCAGGCTTCTTGGTTATGGGGTGAGTAAAAAGTAGTAAGTCTATTTTTGCATTTTAAATTCAGTTTAATGGAGCTGGGTGCTGGTGGCTCATGCCTATAATCCTAGCTACTCAGGAGGCTGAGATCTGAGGATAACAGTTCAAAGCCAGCCCAGGCAGGAAAGTCCATGAGACTCATATCTCCAATAAACCACTAGAAAACCGGAAGTGCCACTGTGGCTCAAGTGGTAGAGCACTCACCTTGAGCTGAAGAACGCAGGGACAGTGCCCAGGCCCATAGTTCAAGTCCCACGACTGACCAAAAAAAAAAAAAAAAAAATCAGTTTAATGGCTATAGAACATAACTAGTTACCACAACTGCTTATTTGGTAATCTCAAGTTACTAGAAGCATAGCTAAGAATCAGAAAGGAAACAAAATAAGTATGTAAAAGGGTAGATGAATCTGTTGTCAGCAAATAATTAAACCTGTTTTCTGAAACCCCATGTACTTTCAGTAGAAAGGAATCTATCTGTAAGTCCCCATTCCAAGTCTCTCTCTTTTTTTTTTTTGTCGGTCGTGGGGCTTGAACTTGGCTTGGGCGCTGTCCCTCAGCTCAAGGCGAGCACTCTACCACTTGAGCTACAGCACCACTTCTGGTTTTATAGTGGTTTATTGGAGATAGGAGTCTCACAGTCTTTCCTGCCCGGGCTGCTTTGAACCGTGATCCTCAGATCTCAGCCTCCTGAGTAGTAGGATTACAGGCATGAGCCACAGGCGCCTGGCCCAAGTCTCTTTTTAGTATTCACACAACACACACACACACACACACACACACACACACACA